CCAGGGGGACAGTCTCCCAGGGCCTGTGCCCCATCATCCAGACCCATCACCCCAGGTCTGCACATGGCTTGACCAGTGCTCCCACCAAGATCCCCCTCTGGGACTGGCACCATGACCCAGAGATGCTGCAGGGGCAGGTGGAGCAGACCGAGGCTGACTGCAGCCATGCTGGGGCACACACCCCTTTGCAGGCAGCATCTGGAGCCTGTGACCATGCGAGACACCCCGCTTGGTGCGCCTGGCACCCTCGGATGTGCACCCCGGGCAGCAAGCAGGGCTGGCCCCGGAGGGAAGCAGAGGCTGAGTGACTTGACCAAGGCCATGCCAGGCACAAGTAGCAGAGGACGGGAAAGACCCCAGATGAGTCCCTGGCTTGGCATCCTCCCGCTGAAGCTCTTGCCTCAAGCCTGACTTGCAAATACTTGCTGCAGCAAGGAGCCAGGCCGATGCCTCCCATAGCGCCCGGTGGAGACGTTACGTCTCCTGCTCCAGCAAGGCCCCACGGGGCTGCCCTGCCAGGGCGGGGGCTGGCAGCAAGAGCAGCTCTTTCCTCCCCGCGCAGCGCCCAGCTCCCCGCTGCAGCAAGCAGAGCGCAGGGGCCTCCAGGGTGCATTCGGAGCCAGCAAACCCGGGGAACGGGAGTGCTGATACGTGGAAACGGGGGGGCCGCACTGCGCCGCGCCGCGCCGCGCCGTGCCGGCCCAGCCGTACAGAGCACCGCAGCCCTGCGCAGCTCCTGCCTCCCCATGCCCCTGCCCTTTGCTTCCCTTCCTCAGATATTTATTAGGTTTAATTTTACTGGGACGCGGCTGTAAGTGAGACAGATGGGACGGGCTCCGTGCGCCTGCTGAAAGCGTCTTAATTAAACAGATAAATAAACTTCCCTTCCAGGGAGACGGTGCTGGTCCCGGGGCTCTGCTGGGCTGCAGCACGGGCTCCTGGGGGGGCAGAGCCCCCGGGAGCTCTGGGGAGCCGACCCAAGGGCTTTGGAGGCTCTGGCCTGCAGGGTGCGGGCTCGAGGATGCTGCGTCTGGGCCAAGCTCGCGGGCCTGCTCGCACCCTCTGCTGGAAGCCTGCGGCCTGGCAGCCCCGGTCGCTGCCCCGTGCCCCGGGCAGGGCTGGCCGAGAAGTGGGAGCAGCCCTGAGCCAGAGCAGACTCGGCAGGGGGGATCGGCACCTTCTGGGCTGACTCAGTAAGGTCTATGGAGAGCACAAGCGTTTGCACACTCGAGCTCACTTCATGAAGGGCTGCGAAAGCACGAGCATGGGGCAGTGTGTGACGTGGAGCAAGTGGCTTCGGTACCCAGGGTGGGAGGGGAGGGAGCCAGTGCTGACAAGCCAAGAGCCCGTAGGAACAAGGGCTAAGCCAGGTAACGGGGCAAGAAAGTCCCTGCGGGAGCCGGACTTCCCCCGGCCCCGGCTGGGGGCACCGCTTGTCCCTGTTCAAACGGTTTCCAAAATGTTGCTCCTGCGGACAGCAATGCCAGGGTCGGCGATGGAGCATCGTGGCCGTGACCTGCATGTCAGGGCAGCGTCCGTTCATTCTTGCACGTAGAAATCGCCCCGTCTGTGCACCGTGGGCGTGCGAGCAGGGGATGGCGTATGTTGGCAGCGGTGGGGTTGCACGTGAGCAACCCCTGGATGTTTCACCCCCGTCATCGGCTCCGGCGATGACGCGGCTGTGCTGATGTGGGGGCGCAGCGGGCGCTGGGTCCGTTGCGAGGCCCGGTGCCTCGGTGAGGATGGGACGGAGGTGGCCTGTTGCTGTTTGGGGGGGCAGCCAGGACAGGCTTGCCCCCATGGCTACCTGGAGACAGTCCTTTCCCAGGAGGGCTCGGAGGTCGTTAATGGTGTTAATGGACAGCCTTGCCCTAACGCTGCAGCCGGGCCACGTGACCTGGCTTTGCTGATTTGAGTGACTGCAGTTTGGGGGTCGGAGTGTAATTGTAGGAGCTCAGCGTGCTCCGAGCAGAGCTGGGGGACGCCAAACACTGCCGCGGTGAATGCCAAAGGCCCCGTGTCCTTTTGCTGTGGCTGGCGGGTGCATTGGCAGCTTAGGGTGAGAGCGGTGGCAGGAAGGCAGCTGTGGCGGTCACTTGGTTTCCGATTCAGCGTCCAGAGAGGACTGGCCGGCTCCGTCCTACAGCGGGGACCCCTGCGAGGGGCTGGATCCAGGTGCCTGCAGGGATGGGGGGCAAGAGCCTGCCTGGCTCCCCTCTTCCGGGGGCATTGTGCCAGAGCAGGGGTGGGGAGCTGTGAGTGAGGCAGGCCCACACATGCATGCCAGCCCCTGCCACTTAGGGGGACCCCAAGCTCCTTGGTCTTTCCTACCTGGACTCTTGCGCTGCCGCCACGAGACCCTGCAGGAGAGGCTTGTTGCACCGGGAAAGAGCGTCCTGGAGTCGCTGCCATCCTGGGCACTCAGGGCCACGCGCGCCAGTCTGCATCCCCTTGTGCGTGTGGCCTGGCCATGCATCACACCACCGCACAGCATGGGCAGGAAGCACCAGGCGTGGTCCCCAGAGCCCTGTGACCCCACCGGAAAGCCCTAGTGCCCAGGGCCGGTGAGAGGGATCGGGCCGGGGCATCCTGAGGGCTTCCCCTCTGCACGCCCCGCACGGGGTCCAGGCGGGCAGCTCTCCAGACCCCCTCCCCGGCAGACTTTGCTCTCGTCCCTGCTGCAGGCTGAGCCTGGGGCTGTCCGAGCGCCCAGCCCTTGCACATCGCTTCCTGCCAGGCTCCCGGTCGCCCAGGCCGGAGGCAGAGTGGGTGCACTGGAGGCCAGGGCTTTGCGCTGCCTTGCGGCAGGGGCTGGGGCCAGAAGGGCGCAGGGCCCCCCGGGGAGCCTGCAGGAGCTGAGCTGGGGGCGTTTGGCCCGCGGGGCCGCAGGGCAGTGCTGGGGCCCTTGGATCTCTGCAGGGCAGGTTAGTGTTGGGCTCCTGGCATGGTGCAGCCTGAGCACAGGAGAGCGGTGGTTGTCCAGCCTGGAGGGGAGGGAGACAGAGCCCAGCGGGTCCGTGCGCCGGGGATCGGGGGCTGCCTGGTTGAGTGAGGACAGGGGGTGCTTTTGCCATTGCAAGGGCAGTCTGCCCGTGCCATCGCTCTGGGTGCTCATCTCCCATGTCTGCAAACCCCCCACGAGAAATGCATCCACTTCCCTGTGCCCAGCGCCCACAGACGGGCTCGGGACGTGCTTTCATCGGCGCTGCTTAGCCCCCTTCGGTCCCGGGAGACAGGTTCTGCTGCCTGGGGCCGGCGGCGGATCTGTGCGTTGCCTGCCGTGTATCTGCAGCAAACCAGAACCAGCGCGGACGCACCGGGACACTGCAGCACGGCTGCGTCTGGGGATGCTCAGCATGGGGCTGCTCGCGGGCTGGGGGCTCGCGGGGACACGCGGAGCCCGCGGCAGCTGGCACAGCCCTGCCCTTGGCCCTGATGGCACCTGACGCTGAGCTCTGCTGGCACCAGAATCCTTCGCCGGGGACGGAGGATCTCCGCGCCGGCGCTGCCCAGGCAAAGATCCCCTCCTGGGCCCGTTGCAGGGGAAGCCCCAATGTGAGGGGCTGCGCCAGCCCCGGGCCCAGCCTTGTCCGGGCTTCAAATAACCGCAGTGGCGGCAGAAGAGGCAAGGGCCAGGCCAGGAGGGGCTGGGCTGTGTAGGGCCCGACGCGCCTGTCTCTCCTGCATGCACACACATGCAGGCACACGGGTGTCACCGCGCTAGCCGGGAGAGCCATACACGCGTGATTGGTTTGGGGACCATCTGCTCTGACAGCGGCAGTCCAGGAACCAAACTCTGCGTGTCTGAACCCAGGCCAGGGGCAACGGGAGCCCTGCCGAGGTGAAAGCCAAAGGCCCCGTCTGCTTTTGCTGCGGCTGGTGGTTGCGCTGGATCGCGGGCCCGCCGCGTGTCGTGCCCTGACGAGGGTGGGTGGGAAGCAGCGTCGGGTGGTTTCAGCTCCGCCGCGCGCCGGGACACCCTCGGCGGAGGGGCGCTGGCCTTGGGGGAGCAGCGTGGGGGCCCTCGCTGCATTGCATTGCAGCGCTGAGCTCCTCGGGGCCCTGCCCTGCCCTGCTGGAGACGGCCGCCAGGCCGCCCCGGGGCAGCAGCATTGCCTGCAGGGCTGCGGGGCACAGGCGCTGCCTGGGGAGCTGAGATTTCTCTCCGCTTGTTTGGAACAAGCCGTGCAGCCCGTGGGCGTGATGCGGTCACCGCAGACCGTGCCAAAGAGCAGGTGGCTGGCGTCCCTGGCTGTGCATGCGTGTCTGTGGGGGCACGGCCCGTGTGCGACGTGTGGCAGCCTGCCTGGTGCACCTGCGAGCAGGTGAGCATGCCTCTCTGGGGGCAGAGCGGGTCTCCGCAGGCCGGCCGGCCGGCGCGCCAGGCTGCGTTCCTGCATGCGGGCACACAGCCGTGCAGCCGGCGTGACGATGGGTGGCTGCGCGCGTGCCTTGGTGGGGTGCGACGCCGTGCCCACGGGGGAGCCCCTGTCCCCGTCAGCGCAGCCCCAGCCCAGAGCCGAGGGCTGCGTGGCGGGTGCGAAGGCCCCTGCTCCACGCAGCAGCAGCCTTTCCCTGGCGCGCGTGCCTGTGTTGCATCACCGAAACTCCCGGCAAGAGCTCTCCTTCCTTCCCCGCCTGCAAAGCCCGCTCCTTCCCAGCCGGCATCAAGCCCAGCGCAGCCGCATGCCCGTCTCCGCGCGGCGGCTGGGCAGAGCCGGCTGCCAGCGCGCTGCGGCCGCGCAGGGGTTAAGTGCGGGATCAGCTGTTCTCGTGTCATTACGGATTCTCTTCATTTTATCCCGAGCTCCGGTTGATGCCTGAATGCACAGGGGACGCCCCCTCCCACCCTTCATCCTCCGCCTCTGCCTCCTCCCCCTCTCCGCTCACACACACCCTTTGCAGACCATTCATTTGGTGCCAGCGTCTAATGGCACCAAAGTAGAGGCGAGCATTGTTCCTCCATCGTCCGCGCAGGGAGCACGGCCGGCGCTCCGCAGATGCCTCCCTCCTGAGCGGCACCGCAAGGGGACCCGAGAGGAGGGACCGCGGCGGAGAGGAGGAGGGAAGGAAGGAAGGAAGAGCATCGGCAGAGTGTCGGGAAGAGGACGAAACGGCCGGCAAGCAGCTCCAAGGCGACCTGCCGCCACATGCTGTGCTCCATGGCGAACTCGGGCTGTCTCCTCGTCTCCAATTCAGGCATGCTTCCTCCCTCCCTGCCCTGCCCGCCGGCCTTCCTCTACCTCCAACAGGTAAGCGCCCCTCTTTTGCTTTGAACTTGGCACGTGCTCTCTGGCCGGTGCCCTCCAAGCCAAAGGTCAGGGCTTGACCTCTCCCTGCCCAGCCCGCATGGCAGGCGGGCACGGCTCTTGTGTCTCGGCACAGGTTGGCGCGGCCGGCGCCGGGGCCAGGAGAGGGGCTGCGCTGCTGGCTGCTGGCATGGTGCGGCAGGCAGCATCGTTAAGCTGCTCCCGCTGGGCAGGAACAAGGGGGATCGTTTGCTCGCAACTTTTAAAATCCGGCTGGCATGGGTGATGGAGCGGGGGAAAGCCATGCATGCCAGAGACAGGCCCGTCATACATGTGCAGCAGCGCATGTCCATGTGCGTGTGCACACCGAGCACGGATGTGCGTGTGCCCTGCGTGGGGTGGAGCGGCAGGCAGCCGGCGCTGCAGCTGTGCCTGGGGGCTCTGGCTCGGCCCCTGCCCTGCTAGCCAAGATCCCCAACTTCCCAGCGGGTCTCCCTGCCTCGGGGCCGGTCCCTGGACCGGTGCTGGGAGACCCCGGGGAAGCATTTCCTCCCCGAGCCTGTGCACTGCGGTGGAGACCCCGTCTCCCATCCGGGCTCGCAGCTCCGGGCGTGCATCCAGGGGGTCCTGACCCCTCTCCTGGCCGGGGGTCCTGCTTCCTCTCGGGGAGGGAGTGGGCAGCATTGGCTTGTTTCCTTGCCCATTTTCCAAGACCCGGACTGGGAGGAGTGCAAGGGGCAGGGGATCCGCCTGCATGCGGTCAAGCCCAGGACTCGGTGCTTGCGGAGGGGGGCTCTCACAGCTGTGGTGCTGCTGCAGGCTGCGCCCGCGCCCGCGCCCGCACCCGAGCCCGTGCCCAGCCCTGCGCTGAGCTGATCTGGAGGCCGGGTGCAGGCCGGAGGCAGGGCGCAGCGGGGCTGAGCGGGGCCTGGGCTCGCCGCCCCATCCTGAGGGCCCTGCAGCACAGCCTGGTGCCCGCTGGGATCGCCCAGGAGCTTCCCCTACCTCCCCCGTCATCACCGGAGGGGCGCGCTGGAGGGTGCCCCGAATGGAGCCGCCGTGCAGGGAATTGAGAGGCCTGGGGGGGGCTTCGTTTCACAGTGGGATCCTCAATTTGGGCTCTGCCCATCTGGAGAGGCTCTCGGGATCTGTGTACAAGCTGCAGGCTGGCAGCGATGGCCCAGAGCACGGCCGCGTGCAGGGGGGTCTCGCTGCATGGGCATGGCTCCCAGGCCCCTGCTTTCCTTGCCCGTCCTCTTGTGCTTGGACCCAGGGCTTAGAGCCCCTCTTCGCTCCCCTGGGAACCTCCTGCTGCTCGGGTTGGGAAGAGAGGAGGGTTGGGCTTGGGGTTTGATCTGCATACGGACCCAGAAAACGGCCCCAAACCCGCCCCTGTCCCCGGGCTTGGCAGTGCTGAGATGCTGCGCTCGGGGCTCGGGGGCTCCGTGGAGCCGTGCACAGCGCAGGGGTCGTGTGAGAAGGGGGCCAGGTCAAGGCCATGAGGCCTGAGCCAGAGGCTCCCTCCGAACCCTTCCTAGGGCTGCCTGTGCCAGGGACTGCCCCGCCATTGCGACCTGGACACCAGGCTCCTTGCTGGGCCCGTGGGTTCCTGTTTGGGATTTGCTCTGGATTTTACCTGCAAAGTGCATCAGTAAACCCGTGTGCAACACACACTCTCACGACGCCGTCTGCAGGCAGGCGCACAGTGCCTGGCCCCCGGGAGCTGTGCCTGCCACGCACAGACGGGCGTGCTCCCCGCGTGGGAGGCCACACTTGTTTTCTTTTGGGGGGACCTGTGTACCGAGGGGACACGGAAAGGCAGGCGGTCGGTATTTGTGCGAGAAATGCGTTTGTGAAGTTTTGGCATGTCTCTGCGTCCTGTGTGTGTGCATGCATAGAGGTGTGTGTGTGTGTGTGTGTGTAAAGCTGTGTGCCTGGATGTGTGCCTAGTGATGTGAGCATGTGTGTACATATGTGGGGTGTGTGTATGTAAAACTGTGTGCCTGGATGTGTGCATAGAGATGTGTGTATGTATGTATAGAGACACGTGTGTGTGCACGTGTGTGAAGCTGGGTGCCTCTATATGTGTGTAAAGATGTGAACACATGTGTTTGTATGTCTAGAGATGTGTGTGTGTGTGTAAAGCTGTGTGCCTTCATGTGTGCATAGAGATGTGAGCATGTGCGTGTAGACATGTATAGGTGCCTGTGTGTGTCTGTAAAGCTGTGTGCCAGTACGTGTTCAGAGACGTGAGCATCTGTGTACGTATGTGTAGAGACGTGTGTGTGTGTGTGTGTAAAGCTGTGTGCCAGTACGTGTGCATA